CTTTGAAACAACAAAACTTGAAAGCCAAATGCAGGATATAATGTCTAATATTTCCCTGTGGTTTTTCTGCTCTCTGTGTTTTGATTATCCTTTATTGTGCCGGTCCCTTTGATTGTCAGTAGCACCTGATACTATTTTACTTGTAAATACAGTATTTACTTGTATTTACTTGTAAATACAGCTGGAATGAAGGTGTATTTGAAATTACGGAGTAGGACATTTCAGCAGAGCCTATGCTTTCAGTGGCCAGAGCCTGTAATTATAATGTAACAGCCCACGATATACTTGGTTCAGGCTGAGTCTGATCTCTGTCAAATGTAGTTTGGGATTAAGCTACAACAAAAAATTTTAAGGAAACAAAAATCAAATTATTTTTCTTCAACAAAAACATCCCTATTCTCTAGGGTTGTCCTTGGATTTATTGGTGTCATCTTCCAAAGTGAAGCTTTTCATGTATTTACAAAGATGTATAGATTACTGTTCAACAGACAGTAATGGTTAGATTGTGCCTGGGACAAAGTGCTGCTTTGACAGATGCCACACCATATAAGGCATCTTAGTATGCAGCAATTCATACATTCAGTTCATTTGCTGGATAGATAAGATTGTCAAAGGGGGGAAATTAGAAAATCTCTAGAGTGGTTGAAGTTGAAGGGACCTCTGATGGTGATCTTGTCCAAACCTCCTGCTCAAACTCGTCTAGAGCAAGTTACACAGGGCTGTGTCCAGATGGATTTTGGATATTTCCTCAGATGGAGACTCCTCCAAAACCTCCCTGGCCAGTCTGTGCCAGTGCTTTGCCACCCTCACAGTGAAAAAGTTTCCTGATGTTCAGAGGGAATCTCCTGTGTTCCAATTTGTGCCCATTGCCTGCTGTCGTGACACTGGGCACCACTGAAAAGACTCTTGGCTCCATTGTATTTACACACTCTCTTCTCTCTTCTATCATCTAGCAGCTAAATGTGCTTGTCTTCCCAGAATCATCTTGAAAATGCTTAACCTATAGCATTTTTGTCCTCGCTTTGTAAGGTAATGTTCTCAAGCTTAATTGCATGAAATTTATGCACGTGCATGAACAAAGAAGTCTGCCAAAAAATTTTCAGTTGAGAGCTCCACCACTCAAAAAAGCATTTCAGCTGCCTCTCACAGTAGTTCTTTAATCTCCTTTGTGAAGAATTCAACTTACAGAAGTTTTTGCCTACCCACAGGCATATCTTCATCTCAGTGGCACCGCAGCGAAGTGCTGCTGTTATGGTAGTTGTGAAGATGACTTTTTCACAGGGTCAGTAAAAACTGTGGAAGGAGACAGCAAACATTGTTCCTCCCTATTGTTGATAAGGATTGAAGACACAATACTTAAACAAAAATGTTTATTTAACTTTTAATGCATATGAGTTCAAGGAATATTTTTTTCTACATAGAATTACGGAAAATCTTGAGTTGGAAGGGACCCATAAGGTTCATTGTGTCCAACTCCCTGCTCCTCACTGTATTTTGGTACTGATGCAACTGAGAGCAGTTTTATACAGAAAGTAAGTCTATGTAAATTCAATTCAGGTATAAGTTGCTATTACTTGCAGACTATATGGCTAAAGAAATAACTACAGTGCTATGATGTTGTTTTCCAAAGCTATCAAAATACTAGCTTATAGACCATCAGGAACAGCAGATGGACAACATCGGTTCCTTCCACTTCTTGGGGATTTTGAAGCGCCCTAAAAAACGCAGTGGTAATCCTAAATGTGAATGTGATCTTTCAAACAGAATTTTCTTGCAGAACTTGTATGTGATTAGCATGCCTTTTATTGTAAGTGCCTGCATGCAAGTGATCTTTTACTGCCAGAAAATGAGAATTGAAGACTGAACGAATTTCTTTTTTCCTTTTAGAGCACGAGAATAATAAATAGATTTTTTTATAGAATTCCCTAGTACAAGGAGCTTCTGTAAATCATGTGTAAAGTGTAAAGTTCATGAACAATTTGCACAGAAGGATTCTGATAATGCTGTTCAGCAGATGTTGCCTGTTTGCTAGCACTTCTTCTTTTGTAAGGCAGATTCTGCAGTACCTGGTAGCAAAATTATTAGCTTTGTTAATTGTGTTCTTGAAATCAGGATGCACGTGGTAGGGTAGGGGTGGAAAAGCTGGTGTCCTGTTTTCCAGGCTTCAGTAACTGCTGTTATATGTACTACATCGTAGAAATTGTCTGCTTTGCTTACACCCACATGTGCTCTGTAAAGTAATGATGGAACAATGTGTAGGATATGTTCTAGTTTAGAGGTTTGTGCTTACGTACAGTCACCATTTTTGTTACTCTGGTGAAGAGCTTTTGTGATGTGCATGACATCAGCTCTAGTGGCTCATGGTGAAGTAGCACCAAAAGGCTATGGTAAGAGGTGATCTGCTAGAGGATAGGAAGGCTCTGCAGAGGGATCTGGACAGGCTGGATGGGTGGGCCAAGACCAGTTGTATGATGTTCAGCAAGGCAAAGTGGCGGGTCCTGCACGTGGATCACAACAGCCCCAGGCAGTGCTACAGGCTGGCAAAGAGTGGCTGGAAAGCTGTCCAGCAGAAAAGGACTTGGGCTGCTGATCAACAGCCACTAAACATGAGCCAGCAGGTGGCCAAGAAGGCCAGTGGCATCCTGGCTTGTATCAGAAATAGTGTGGCCAGCAGGACCAGGGCAATGACTGTCCCCCTTGTACTTTGTACTGAGGCAACACCTTGAGTGCTGTGTCCAGTTCTTGGCCCCTCACCACAAAAAAGACATTGAGGTGCTGGAGCAAGTCCAGTGAAGGGCAACGGAGCTGGTGAAGCGTCTGGAGTTCAAGTCTTATGAGGAGCGGCTCAGGGAGCTGGGGATATTTAGACTGCAGAAAAGGAGGCTGAGGTGAGATCTTTACAACTATCTGGATGGAGGTTATAGTGAGGTGGGGATTGGTGTCTTCTCTCAAGTAACAAGCAATAGGATAAGAGGAAGTGGCCTTGAGTTGTGCCACTGGAGGTTTTAGTTGGATATTAGGAAAAATTTCTTCACCGAAAGGATTATCAAGCATTGGAACAGGCTACCCTGGGAAATGATTAAATCACCATCCCTGGAGATATTTAAAAGATGTGTAGATGTGGCATTTAGGGAAATGTTTTAGTGGTGGACTTGGCAGTGTTAAAGTAATGGTTGGACTGATGATCTTAGAGGTCTTTCCCAACCTAAACAATTCTATGATTCTATGTCCCTGTGCAAGCATGGCAGACAACAGTCATCTCCAGCTGCAGCAAAGCTAAAATGGCTGACTGCAAGTTTCAGTGGCAAAAAAAGGGCTTAACAGCCCCTTCCATCAGAATTCAGTGAGTCAGTGCCTCCAGATCCCAGGCTCTGATGCCTCCTGTTGCGCTTCTTTCCTGTAATGCTCCCTGTCTCCCCTCCTCCCTGTAGACATGGTCTTCCCCTTTTAAATCACATCACTGCTGCCGTTCTGTAGCAGCTGAGAGGCACGGCCTGGTGTCCATGTGATGTGTGGCCAGTTCCCGTGATGCCAACAGCCAGAGACTGCTGCAGGTGTTGGGCTAACAGAGTACTGCTGTATGACTGGAAGCCAGCAGTGGTACAAAGGTAAGATCCTGACTATGGGCAAAATGCCCATTGACGTCAGTGAAGGCAGGATCTCGCCAAGAGCATGCAGTCCAGAGGCTGAAGCTGGAAAGCTCTCTCAACATATCTCTCTGGTTTCCCTTTGATGCTGATACACATTTTATTTTTCATTTTATTCTCTTCAGAGCTCAGTAAGAAGCAGCTTTCTGTCCCATGAAACTTTTCAACACACACAAAGCATTTGAAAACAACTGTGAGTGGAACAAAGCACTAGGAACAGAAGTATAATGAAAAATTTTACAAAGAATCTTAGGGTAAGCCAGGTACAAAAAGGGTTTAGGAGTACAGGAATTCCAATTTACTGTCCAACATATTTGTAATAACTACAGCAGACAGCAGAACTGGTAAACAAATGGATAATTAAAGTCATTAGGAGCCATCAGCATTATTTCTGGCAAATTCTCACAATTCAAAAACAAGGGAAAGATTGTCTGTCGCCATATCTAAAATAGAAGGGTGTGTTTTTTTAATTTTAATCAGTGTGTAACAATGTTGTGAAACTCCCAGCCATAGGATCTTGCAAAGGCTAAAAACAGAAGTGAACACAAGAGAAAACTGAATTTAATCACAAAGGTTAGATTCAATGTTTGCTGATAAAACACAGTGAACCAGGTGCAATGGCCAAGTCAAGGAAAGGTCCTGTACCACAGAATTCCAAATCTGGGGCAGTGCATGAAGGACAGACCCCTGAACATGCTCCTCTTCTCCCCTAGGCATTTTTTATCTGCCACTGATCCTGGACAGCTGTCTGATGAAGCACTGTCTCTTATACTCTGTATGCTTCCCTGATGGGTCAGAGCAAGAGCCCTGGCCTTACTGTAGATGGATTTGATGATGCTTGGAAACTTTGCTTGTATTTAGAGAGCCCAGTTTCCAACTCTGTGTTCTGTCTGCCTCAGCAAAGAGCACCAATCCAGAATGTTTTCATCCTTCTTGAGAAATTTTTTTCCAGGGCATGTGTTGATATCAATTGCCATTAAAAAGGGTGTGAAGGGGGTTGAGAAGAGGTATATAACTGCTTTTACCATCTCCAGTCATGTCAAGAAGCAAATTCAATGCAAACTTTTTTAATCTCTCTCTTGTGATGCAGAAAATAAGTATTTATTTAACTTAATCTTTCTTTTCTTAATGTCACTCTTGCCCCCGCTCTTTCAATAGACACACCTTTAGTTTTCTTTAAATAGCCTTTATCAAGCAGAATGTTTGATTTATATGTATATTATAATATTGTTTTGCACCTTGTCTTATTCTTTGCTGCTTGTGCACTGGTACGGAATGTCTTTCTGTTACAGATTATCTGAAAAGGCTGCTCTGGCCTTTCTTCCTTTCACATTTCTCTCCTTGCTTCCATAGATGACCAAGTCCACAGTGGAACGATCCAACCAAATGTGCCTAGTGCCACAACCGGGCCGGTCAGATGGAATACCTCGGGTCAGCCTCCAATTAACAGATAGTGGTTCACGTGGGAAGGAGATGGACTTAACAGATGAAGTCTCCTTCACTAACAGTGATGTGTTTTTCTCCAGGTTAGTGTTCCTTTTTTGTCTTTGTGTTTGTCTCCTTGTTTGTTTTGTAACTGCACCTTCAGCTCTGGGCTTTTTGAACGCTTACAAAATATGCTGGGGTCTAAGGCAAATTAATGTGCCTATTCCTGTTCGATCTACACGCTCCAGTGCCAGCTGTGTGCTTTGGTTTGCCTTTCCAACATTAAATGTCAAGCTTTTGAAGGTAGGATGCTTGGTGAAGGAGTGCAGATGGACAGGACTGATCTATGATCAGGCACTAGAAATTACAATGAGCACAAGATGTAACTGCAATGTCAGGTGTCTCCTCTGAGTAATCAAGCGTATTTGATCTGCCCAGGTTAAGTGTTAACAGATGACTGGCTTCATTCTCACTCTTAGTCCAAAAGGAAGGGGTTTTAGGGGGTTTTCTCTTTCTGGCAAGAACAATGCTAGTACTACTATTGTTCAGACAAAACAGAATAAAGAATATATAGAGAATATCTGTAAGATTATCTGTCTGAATTAATCTATGAGAGTCTATTGGTTTAAAGAATCTACAAAGGTATCTATCTTAAAAGAGTGTTTTGAGTTTTGATTGCTGGCACATTGTTGATTAGGTGAACAGGTAATGTGCAGTTTGCTTTCTTGTAAAGTCCTTCCATGAACATCAGGCTGAACCAGGATCTTTTTGTTCTTCTCAGGATATTGAATTGAGTCTGTCATTCTCTCTCCTCTTGTGTCTAGTGCAGCACATGGGGGATTCAGGTTACTGTGGGAAATTGCAGTGTGCTACTGAAATAAGGAGTTGGCCTAATGTGGGAAAGGGTGCTATTTTACATGTCATGAAACACAACACCGCAGTGTCTCAGCACACCAATAGGAACACAAAGCAGAGGCAGTGCTGCCAGACACATAACTGACTTCACTGTTAGCAGTTGTGTGCTATTCTCAGCACTAGCACTCAATTTACAAGTTAGCAAATCATGCGTTGACACCAGATTTTGATTCGTAGTGATGATGGTGAAGCCCTTGCAGGCACGTGTGCTCTCTAAGTTCTAGCTGCATTAGCTGTGTATTTACTCTCCCCGAACTTCCCCCAAAGCTCCTACAGCCAGAACACATCATGTTTGTTTACATGGCTTCATTAATCCAGCTCCTTTCGACTGAGATGAGTTAGGAAACAATTACCAGAGCAGGTCATCTAGCAAAACTGAGAAGGCAGTATAGTTCTACCAGCTAAACAGGGCCAGGCGGGTGGGGCTGGGTCAGAAGCTACAGCCTCTTGTGTTGGTATGCTGGAGCTTGGCAGAGAGTGTGCCCCTGCCTGTATTCTGCTGTGTGTTGCAGGGTGTAAGGGGAAACGAAGTGCTCCAGGGCTGAAACAAAGGACTACAGAGTCCTGTGTCTGGGAAGGTGTGTGTTGACTGATGTACTTCATGAGGTACCCCAAAAACTGCTGTTCTCTTAGAACATTCCCAAAAAGGTGTCATTATTTGCTGTAGGAATTCATACTTTCTTGTCAATGTGTAATTGCTTAGAAGAGTACAAATATGGAACAGTTGGGCCAATACCGGCACAGGACATTAAGCACCAAATGAGATATGTTTGTAATTAGGCAGAATCTTAATCTTTGTGCGTAGGCCTTGGAGTGAAAGATGTCTGCATCTCTAATTTTATCTGGAAAATTAATAAACTGTAGAAATTAATTCTCTTGTAATCCCATTTTGTTCAAGAATGCCCTAGTTTTCTGTCCTCTATCACACTTCTGTACTTATTTACCTAATTGGGTTGAATATCCACACCGCTCTTTGTGTCCGTGATCTGCTGCTGCTGGAGGAAGAGCAGGTAGTGTTTGTTGTTTCCTACCCAGCTTCAGGATGGCAGGTTGTTGGGCAGGACGGAATGGAGACAAGGCCTTGGAACACCCCTAAGAGGAAAAGCAGAGAGACATAACACATGTGAAGTGTCTGTGCAACAGGCAGAAACCCCTATTCCCTGGCATTAATGTAGTGCTCTGATATATCAGGAGAGTTTTTAAACATGCTTTTGGCAGCCTTGGGTCACTCTTGTGTAATTTAAGTCCACAATGAGGTATTACCTGATTTTATTTCAGTGCAAGGCTATTATTAGGAGTTTCCACCTTTTTCGGCAGAAGGACTCTGGCATCTGACCTAGATTATAAAGTGCTTTGCAAACACACTGCTATTCTTGTTGGGATGTTTTGTGTCACAAGGTACTAATAGTTCTTAAATAAATGTTATCATTAATTATATGTAATTATCAGGTATGTTTTAGTGAAATTGCTTGCTGTGTCTGCTCAGCTGTGATATGATCTTTGGTAGAAAAGAATAAAGGTTGTTCTTGGCAGTGATAATTATTTGCTGCTTCATGAAAACAACTGGTTTGTTCCCTTTCCATGCTCAGATACCATGATATGGGTGGATTAGAAGAGGATGAAGGGTTACACACAACAGTAGATGCAGAACTCCATCTTTAGCAGCTTCACAAGTGTTTAAAAGTGGAGAAATAACCACACACACTAAGCCTGTAAGGCCCCCTCTAGCAAGGACTGCAATCTTCAATCTTTAATAAATTTTCAATCAGTTTCATTTGGCACTGGAACAGAGGCCTTCAGGGAGAAAATGAGACTTCTAGTTGATTAGTAATTTTTAATACTATTTGAAATACCTCTTAGTATGTGTCTTCATACAGTTTTCCTTAAAATGAAGATTTGTATATTAAGTAGCAACTACGGTTGTGACTGTGTCTTCTAGATTAACTTACCTTTTTTTTTAAATATTGAAAGTCATGTTATGCCTCCTTACAGGTATGTTATTCCTCATTGCAGGATTTTTTTTAAGGTGCTGATGTCATTTGAAATATACAATGTATCAGTTGCAGTCAAAACATTGCAGAGCTTAAATTCTGTATCACCCTCTGTTCTCAACAGTTATCCTAAGAAAATGTTATTTGTAAAGTTGATACATTCTTTTTTTCTAACCAAAATAGGTGGATTAACTTTATGTACCCAAAATCCCCAGTAGCACTTAATGTATGTGTTCTTTTGAAAACTGCCTCATTTATCATAATTGTGTGCAAGGACAAATTGCTAATTATGCAGTAGCAGAAAAGCACACCTGTAATGCAGCTCTCGATTAAATCCAAAACCAGTGGAGAATGAAAGAAAGGAAGCAGCAGGAGAGGAGAGACTGGTCCTCTGAAAGAAGGATGGAAGTCTTTAGGCAATATGCAGCCTGTTACATATTTCTGTGAGTCTCATCTTGTTTTTGCAAGAGCTCCTGTGCAGAGCTTCAGAGCAGGGCAACCAAACCTCGAGACCCTGGGAACCACACACATACTTTTATCTTTACCTGGTTGAGAACCGCAAGACTCACACTGCAGACCTCAGGAGCTGGGGAAGGCAGCAGCTTTGGGACTAGGGTGTGGGCTGGAGGGAATGGGGCTCCCTGGGGCGTTATCAGACCTTCAGTGAGAAGATATTAGAGTGGGCTTGCAGCTCTGTGAACCTCAGAGTCCCTGTTTGGGTCCCTCTTTCTTTCTACTATCTACGAGGAAAAGTCTGCTCAAAACTGGTTCAGAAGGGCATACACAATTGTGGTAGGAACTGGTGTGATTTTGGATGTGTTTAGAGGTACTAAAACTTCAAATAACTGCTTAAATCACAGATTCAAATGGATTTTACTTTAGGGGTAGGATATGTTATGATTTAAGTGGATACAAAGGTAGGAGGGCCTCTTGCAAGCAATGCTCTCAGCTTTTTGTGCTAAACTTCATATACATCACCATCCTGGAACTTTTGCCCAGGAAAGGGCACTGAAATTCGCTTTACTGTTATGTATGTCTGTTCTAGCACTTGCTGGAGCTGCATCTCTCTGCAATCCTTGTACTGTTTTGAAGGAGGAACCCTCAGTGGGAGAGCACGCTGCTGTTTGAAGTGCTGTAGGCTCTGTGCGTGGAAATATCCACTAAAGGAGTGGGGTTGGGCACCCATCCTTGCTAGTAGTGGTCGGGGGCTGAGGAATGGGTGTGTGTATGGCAGCCAGACTGTGAAAAACATTCTGCAGTTCCTAAGAGCCAAAGCTTAGAGCAACCACAGCAGTTGTTCAGTAAGCCAGCCATTGCCTTCTGTATTTTGTAGCCTTGCCTTTGTGTGCCAAAGATCATAAATTCCTGTTTGTGACTGCCATCACAGCTGCAATGAGATCTGCCAGCACAGATACCCCGTGCTGGCTTTCTAACACGTGCATGTTCTCAAGGAGAAGGTTTGTTTACATCAACCTTTTGTTCACAAAGATCCTTATATCTGACCTATGTCCTGAAAATAAAGGCATCATGTGCCTAGTAGCATAGTAACCTCCCTAAATTAAGGGGTGGGTTAATGTACCCTGCTGTGCCCTCTTCTTAATGACACTGCATATTTTCACTGTTAGTTGTTGAGGTATGAAAACACATATATTTGTACACTGAGAAGTTTGTGCTTACTGTAAATGCTTTCCCTGTTTGTTGGCTTTCCTTTTAGCAGCTGCGGTTTAAAACTTACCATTATTCTCTGGCACATGCTAAGAACTTGGGTGCCTATTGCCAGAACAAATCAAACAGGGGGGCTAGTGTTGTTTGCTTAGCTGACTATTTTTGTTTAGGTTTGGGGTTTTTTTGTTTTTGAAGTCTGTCGTGCCAGTACATTCAGTCCCTATCCAAAGTAATAATTTGCCTTACCACTCAGGAGTCTGGCTGCCAGGTTTACATAAGGGATTGCAGCCAGGCAGCTGGCAGGGCTGCCCTCCAACAGCCATGGATTCTTCAAGAAAACGTTTCAGGAAAGGGGTAAAGGTCTGGAATGAGGCTGATGGAGAGGTAGTGAGCGCAGTTGCCTTTCGCATCATTCAGAGTGCAACACCTCTGGCAGGCCCTGCTCTGAGCTCTCAGAGAGGACTTTTTATGTAAGGTGTTGTTGCTGTTTATCCCTTTGTCTCTTTAGGTTGTGTTGAGTTAGTTTTTCC